GCTTGCTGTACATGCATGAGATCATGTATTCCATCTCCAGGACAAAGGAAAAGGAGGGACAGAGAGATGGTTCCGTAGTTTTAAGTACTTGATGCTCTCACAAAGACCCAGGCTTGGTTCATACTACAAACGGCTACAACTGCAACTCCAGTTCCAGAGGGGCCAATGGCCTCTCAGGACACGGGCACACATGTGGCATACACACACACACACAGACACATAAATAAAAAATCTAAAAGAAAAAAAAAGGTTAAGTATGGTGGCGTGGTCTTGCTAAGTTCCTGGCCAGAGAATGACCCTGTCTCAAAAGGAAAGGGAAAAAAATTATCTTGCCACGTTACTGTATGTTCATTTTGTCTAAGAATTTTCAAATAGAGTTTTGAAGTTCTCTTAAGTACAGAATATCAAATGTAAATTTTTCGTTTGTATCCCTATAATTTCTCTAACTAAAGCTTCAAGCACGATACTGAACATGGTTGGGGAGAGTGGACACCCTGTCTCCCACTTGATCTTAGTGGGAATAATTTGTGTTTTATTTAGCATGATGGTGGGGACAGGTCTACCATACACAGGCTAAGATACTGAAATGTGCTTCTTTTATTGTTCTCATGAAAAGACGTAAGATTTTTTCAAAGTCACTTTCCACAGCCATTGATATGATCATGTGCTTTCTATCTTTATGTTCATTTACATCATACATTTTGTATATTTGGTTTTTGAGGATAGGGTCTCTCTGTGTAACAGTCCTAGCTGTCCAGCAACTGTAGACCAGGCTGGCCTCAAACTCACAGAGACCCACCTGCCACTACCTCCCCAGTGCTGGGGTGAAAGGCATGTGACACCATCCAATGGCTTATATTTACTAATTTGTATATGCTGAATCATCCCTGCATCTCTGAAATGCATCAAACATCATCTTTTTTTTTTTTTTCCTTTTTTTGAGACAGGGTTTCTCTGTGTAGTTTTGGTGCCTGTCCTAGATCTCACTCTGTAGACCAAGCTGGCGGCAAACTCACAGAGATCCACCTGGCTCTTCCTCCCGAGTGCTGGGATTAAAGGCATGCACCACTACTGGCTGGCTCTATTAACTTATTCTTTTAGAAAAAGACTCAATATTTGGCCCTGGTTGGTCTAGAACTCACTCTCTAGACCATGCCGGTCTTGAACCCAAACAGACCTACCTGCTACTTACCTGTTTCAATAAAAGGGCCCCCCCCCCCCCCCCCGCAGCGGGAGGCATTACTTTCTATTAGAATTTCCTTTTTGGCATTCCCTAGTACATTCCCCTGAGAAGGCAGACTGTCTGGATGTTTCAGGCCAGCTTGGTCTATAGAGTAAGTTCCAGGACAGACAGCACTACACAGAGAGACACTGTCTCAAAATCCCAAACAAATATTGATTAGTAAATAATAATAATTATAAAGGAAAAATAAAAACAAAAACACTGCCATTTTTACTTCAGAAAAACCAGCACAATGTAAGGGAGAAATCAAATACAGACAAAGGTGTGACAACTATATAGAAATTTAATCTGTCAGCCCCATCCCATACCTGAGAGTCTGAAATGAAAAACCCTAAGTTCTTTTCTCC